GAAGAAGAAGAAGAAGAAGAAGAAGAAGAAGAAGAAGAAGAAGAAGAAGAAGAAGAAGAAGAAGAAGAAGAGAAGGCCCCCAGATCCTATGCAATGCTTGAGTCCTTAATTACTGCCTACAGTTGTGAAGAAATGAAAGTACTCTAAATATTATGACTTGCCCCTAGTAAATTCCCAGCAAGGGAAGGAACCAGGTACCAGGTAGTCTCTCAGTTCTGTAATTTCTGAGGCACAGTTACTGCTTCTTTCCATTTCTGCCATTGAGGGATGTTGGATTAACTCCTGGGGGAAGCACTGGCCACTTTCATGCCAAGCATAGGCCATCCAAGGAATGGGGATCCTAGGTTTCCAGGAAAAGGGTCATTAAACCAGTTGTACAAACTGTTCATCCCACAGAGGTCCCTAGCAAGAGGGTAGAGACAGCAATCTAAACTTCACTTTGCTAGCTAAGCTGTAACTTCCTGTTAGAGACTGCATCTTCTAGGAGGAGCACCTTTTTCTAACTCAGCAAAGACTAATGAGACAGTGGTAATCCTCTTGGGGCAGGATTCCCCATCCCCTTCTCCTCAAAAGTGAACAGCAGCAGCAACACCCACCAGACCTCTCCTCAAAGGGTTCTGCCATTGTTTGAAATCTCCATCCCTTTTCAAAACTGCTCACAAAGCCTTAACAAATCTCCCAGCCACAGCCACTTTGCGTGTGGGCTTTGGGGCTGGAGATACAACTTGGTAGTAGAGCACTTGCCTAGCATATACAACACCCTGAGTTCAATACCCAGGGCTTAAAAGGGGAGGGGAGGGGTGGATTTTGAAATGAGGAAGAGCTGCGTTAGAATTTCAGACCTGCCCCTTACCATCCCTAATGATTCACATCTCTAAACCTCAATATCCTCATTTGTAAATGGGAGATTTGTGTAGACGGGCTTCCTTTGTTGTTCAAAGCAGTCAGTGCAATAACACATTGCAGCAATCAACATACTCGCAGCACCTGATCATTGCTATATCCAATATATTTGGAATATCAGACCACGAGTGTGTGATGTGGGCTCCGTGAGAAGAAAAGAAAGGAGAGCAAGGGGCAGAAAGATGTCTAGACTTGGAGGCCAGAAACACTGAAGGAAGATTTCCAGTGGTCATTAGTGAAGACTCTGTTCCCTCACTCCCAGCCTCCTGGAGGCTCCATTCTTCTTGCTGTCCCCACATCCCCCTTGGGGTGATCTCTGCGGGACAGGCCTGCTGTGGATCACAGCGAACAGGTGGGATAATAAAGGAGAGGCAAGAGCCTTTCCCTGTGGTGGTCCTATTCCCAGGTTTCAAATGTACTCTCACCAATGTTGGCGTATGCTTCTCTGGTCTCTTCATCCCCTTCTATGTCACACAGCAACCTGCTGAACTGGTCACAGTTGATGGTGTCCGTGTCAGGTTCTGGGAGGAAATGTGCCTTGTGTGAAGCAGGAAAGACCTGGGAAAAGGGCTGGTGGGAGGGAGGGAGATGCGCAAGAGAGGGCTGGGTGACATTGTGGCTAGGAGGATTCTGGGCACAGTCATGGGAGCTGTTCGTGGTGCTGACCGGAGCTCAGGGGCCAGCATTTGCCCTGCATGAGGTTTGCGGCCCTCTACAGATGGGGAAGGGTGGGAGAAGGCAGAGGGAGGAGCGCCCACCTGAACAGAGCTCGATCTCTTCCTCTCCTGCCAAGTCCATTTGGTCATACAAGTGGTAGTGGTGCAAGGGATCAACATCGCTGTTAAGAAGCTCCAAGTACCCACCTTCCAGAGGTGCCAGCTCCATGGTGGCACACTGTCCACTGCCTGGAAGGGGAGACATACCCAGGTGTCTTCCCTCAGGAAGCTGGGAAGTATAGAGAATCAATACCTAAAACAGGGCTAGGGAGATGGCTCAGTGGAGTAAGTGCTTCCCTGGCAAGCACAAGGGCCTGAGTTCAATCTCTGGTTCTGAAAAAAAAAAAAAAAAAAACCAACCAAACAACAACAAAAAACCCTAAAACAGCTCCTGGCCAGCTCCTGTGGGTTGGGGGCAGGGCCAAAGGAAGAGAGCAAAGGTGCTTATTCAGCACTTCTGAGGTGCTCAGCATGGTAAAAAGAGGAGCTTGAGCTTGAATCCTAGCTGTGAGGCCTTAGTGAAGTCACTTGCCCTCTCTGGGTGTCAATTTTGTAGCATTAGATCTGGAGAATGAAGCCTGGCCCAGGGTGGCTGTGTGTAGTGTGCCAGCCTCACTAGAGTTCCACAATCAAAGGAAGCTTGTTGTGTTAGGGGGAATCAAAGCTGGGACCCTAGGCCGCAACCAGATCTCTGCACAATGTAGAGTTGCCTCTCATCCATGCCAAGTTCTACTTGGATATTGGCCTAGAACTTACTCATGTCCCCAGAGCAAATCTCCTGTTTCTATTCATGCTTGGGACATGTTTCAAGGGAACCTCAGTTGGACTCTTTCACCATCTGTAGCTGCAAAGGGAGCTGCTGCAGAGATGACCCTGATCACTCCACTTCAGCTGCCCAGCCAGGGCAGAATGCACAAGCCAAGGTTCTAAGAGGGAGGGACCTATCCATTTGGCTCACTGACCCCAACTCTCCAGTGTGTTTCTATACAGGGTGAGTCTTTTCACCCATAAAAATGACAACAAGAAGCCACAGGGAGATCCCTTGGTTCATGAGCATGATAACTGAGTGTTCATGCCTTTTGCATGAAATGTGCCTTCCTCAAACCTTGTTACAACATGGGCACATCACCAGTCTGATGTGAAAAAAAAAATCCACAGGGACTCACTGGATTCAGGAATCAATGACATGATGGTTTGATCTAACTCATACATAGCTCTCTGCATTCTTATTTGTCAAGTAAAGAAACAGACCAGGAAGACAGGGAGTGAGTTGGGACTGGAACCAACTGTCTGGCTCCAGGGTTGTAACTTCTGTCTTTTTGACTAGCTTGAGTCAGCCTGGGAGACACCCTCACCCTGTGAGAAGGGGTGTGGGTAGCAAGACAATTTCCCCTTTTGTAGAACTTCTGGGCTATGGCAGAGGAGTGGCCTGTGTCTTTCTGCTAACTATGTAGTATTTTTAGGAGGTCCTACTCGAAACCACCCTTCTCCCTGGGCCACCACTTTCCACTCCCTGGGCCACCACTTTCCACATCCAACTTGAGAAAATATTCCTAACCAAAACTTCTTTGGGGAGTTCCCTTCTATCCCCATTTCACATTATTCCACAGGTTTTGAAAGACTACTACTAACTTCATTTCTGCAATGTAAATTCATCTCCATCTCTCTTGAAGGAAATCAGATGTTCTAACTTAGATCCAAGCAACTTGGTCCATTCACACAGTTTTTCTGTGCATCAACACAACATCCCTTCTCCTCAGGAGAGGATCTGGGACTGAACTAACTCTCTCTCTCTCTCTCTCTCTCTCTCTCTCTCTCTCTCTCTCTCTCTCCCTCCCTCCCTCCCTCTCTCTCTGTGTCTTTCTTTGTCTCTCTTTGTCTCTGTCTGTCTGTCTGTCTGTCTGTCTGTCTCTCTTTACTATTTGTCTATCTTTCTTTACTATTTTGTTTCAACTATCCCAACAACTCTAACAGACTTGTATTGTTTTACTTATTTTACACAGGATGGTTCTGAGGTTAGGCTTGGTTGACCAGATTCTTCACAGAAAGTAGCAGTGATATATCCTTGATCTCAGGTGGAAATGTAAGGGGAAAGGGCCTCTCTGCTACGCCAACGCTTCCAGCCCTGCTCCCACTGAGAAGTACTTCCCCACTTATCAACCACAAATTTCTCCAAATAAATTAATGGAAAATCTCTGTACTTCGTGTCCAGAGGCATGTTTGGGTCCCAGCTCTGCCTGTGATCTGAGCACATTTCTTTACCCCATTTATCCTCATTTTCACAGACTGGGTGATGGACCCATTTATCTAAGGGATTTGGGGATTCTGATTCCTCACTGCTTGCAGCTTTCCCCTTTTCTTCCCCCAAACCTCCTTCCCAGCACTCTGCTCCTCAACCTAAAGACAAGATGGTTTTAGATGCCAAGTGGGGTTAGGAAGCTAGGGCCCCAGGGATGCTTATCTACCATGACCAGCCCTCAAACAATATTTCCATGGGGACAATAGATCACATAAGTTCCCCTCTCCCTTTTGTCCCCTGTGGTCTTCCAGATAAACACTAAGAGACGCCTTTGTGTGTCCCATCCAAAACTGTGAACCAGTGATTTCTTGAGTCGCTCCCATAGCAGACTCAGTCAAATAGGATGACCACTCCCAACAGAGGAGGACCATTCCTCAGTCCAGGGTATATGAGTAGCTGCACTCCCCTGCTAGAACCTCCAAACAAGCTCTCAAGGTCCAAAGAGGCTGTGAAGCACAAGCCTTGTCAAGGACTTACATTGTAGGCTTAAGTGGTATTCTTTCTGCTGTTGTTGACTTTTGTTTTGTTTTAGGGAAGGGTCTACAGGGTGTTCAGGGTCTCACTACTAGTTCGAACTCATAGTGATCCAACTGTTTACAGCCTCCCAAGAGCTGGGATTACAGGCACATGTCACCACGCCCAGTCTCAACTGCCATCTCAGAGTGCCCCCGGGGGTGGGGCCTACACGGCAGGCCTGGGGATCGAACCCCCAACCCCTCCACCTGCTGGCAGGCACTTTAATCCGCTGAGCTATTTGGCTGGCCCTACAAGTGGTATTCTTAGAGGAGAGGTAAAACACGCCAGTAAGAGGGTAATGATTGAGTGTGGTCTCTGAGTTCAAATGCCTATTCCATACTAATTATCTGACTATGTATAAGTCATTCAACCCTCCAACTGTAGTCCTATTATACATGGTTGGCATAGTAGCCACCCCATTAGGTTGCCATGACTTTCTTAAGTGATGTTTCCAGTGAGTGGCACTAAGACATAACCCCCAAAATCAAGACAACGAGGGCAACACTTGATGCTGTTCAACTGGAAAAATCCAGAAAGCTGAGAAGTGCCCCACAGTGGTCAAGTAAAGATGGTAGAAATACAGTTTAGCAAAGCCACTTTGGCAAACAATCTGGTATCACCTAAAACACTTGAGGAAGCCAGGCATGATGGAGCACGCCTATAACCTCAGCACTTGAGAAGCTGAAGCAAGTGGATTGTTGTGAGCTCAAGTCTGAAGCCAGCCTGAATAACATAGCAAGATCCTGTCTCAAAAAGCAACAAAATAAAAGAAAACACCTGAGAATGAGCTAAATGCAGTGACACATGCTTGTAATCCCAGCTACTCAGGAGGCTGAAGGAGAAAGAACCCAAGTGTGAGCCAAGCCTGGGCAAATTAGTGAGACCTTGTCTCAAAATAAAAAGGGCTGGGTATGGAGCTTGGAGTGAAGGGCCTAGGTTCAATTCCCAGTACTAGCAAACGAAACAAAATAAAACACAACTCCAAGAAGATAGAGTCCCTTGGCCCAATAATTCAGCTTCTAGTTGTACACATCCCAAAGAAATGGCCTCACAACTCCACATCGGGATGCCTCTGAAGAGGTTTGCTGCTGTGCTGACTGTGGTGACAGGGAACTACAGGCCACATTCACACCCTTCACTGGGAAGCAGACAGATTAAAAGCAGCCACTGCTTTCTGTGTAGGACAGGGCAGTGATTGGACGCAGAGACCAAACCCAGAACTTGTCAATCTTAACATCATACCAAATGGAAAGGAAAGGAACAGGATAGGCTCTGGTAGCCCCGTTCCAGATGTGCCAATCACAGCTGTACACAGAAAGGCGATGTGTACATTAAGAGAGCACACTATCAAGGCTGCACCTTAAATTCATTAGAATGGGCATCCAGAGGCCGAGCCAGGAGGGCCACTTTACCCTTTTTTTTTTTTTTTTTTTTTTTGGCAGAACCAGGGATTGAACTCAGGCCCTTACACTTGCCAGGGAAACACTTATTCCACTGAGCCATCTCCCCAGCCCCACTTTAGCCCTTTAAGACTGGCCTGCACAATATACCTTGTCCCAAAATAAAATTTAAAAAGGTCTAGGAACACAGCTCAGTGGCACAGCACTTGTCTAGCATGTAGGAGGCCCTGGGTTTAATCCCCATAACCACAAAAATAAATAAACAAAACATATATATGAGGCAATTGTACATGAAAATAATATTTTTTTAAAAAAGTAATGGGCCCGGCTGGAGCAGGAGAGGGCCAAGAAGGAGGTGGCATCTGTAGAGGAGGAAGCCCAGCTCTCTAGTCACCATGTGCCTGCCTAATGTGGGTGTCTAAGACAGAGAACCTATGGAAATTGCTGCCCTTATTCATGACTTTCACTTCCTTCAGGGCTTTGAGATGATCATGAGACACGAAGGGAAACTAAGGCATACAGGAATGGCTTGGAAGCCAGGTGAAGCCAGCTGATCATTTCTGAAGGTGGGGAAATTGTAAGGTCTGTGTATGT